TGTGTGTGTGTGTGTGTATGTATGTAATTAGCATGTGTCCAGGGTCTGAGAGAATAAATTTGGGTCTTAAAGCAAGCAGGGTATGGACAGACAGGATTTTTTTTTAACGATAAAGCAACATTCAAACAGCAGCCCTGTCCTTAAAGGTGTAACTTCTTACATTTCTCAATGTTTCCCTATTGTCAGGTATGGGCCGCTTTCGAAACCTGTCCCGGGCTAGGAAAATTATTTTGTTTCCTTGAAGATTTTTGGACTCTGAGTGAGTCTCTATATGAATTTTCCTGTTTTCCCATAAATAATTCACAAGGCTTCATTTGTTCTGTGGAGTTAGAAAACCACACATTTTACTTTCTTGCGATAGAAGTGGTCATCCTCCTCGGATGGATTTTCTTTTTTGCCCCTGACCCAGAGCCCTTGTCTTTTGTCCTTGCTCATGGTTTGTGTTTGTTTTTGTTTTTGTTTCTTTTTTCTTTTTTCCCCCCCTTCTTTCTTTTCGGCCCTGACCTCTCTCCTCCCATCTTTGTCTTTCTCTCTTTGCAGTATTGGGCCCAGCTTGGCTTTCTCTCTCCAGGTTGGGCCTTCTTCTCTCTCTCTTTCTCCCTCTTTCTTTGCCTCTTTATTCCTGTGGTCTAATCAGTCTGTTTCTTTTGGAGGCACATTTTTCCTAGTGATGGCTGAAACTGGCATGGGTATTTCAGAAATGTTTCAGTGAAAACTGTTGCTTTAAAAAAAAAAAAAAAGTCAAATTCTATATGCTTGACCATAGTAAGAGAGGCCCTTCTCTTGCAAAGGCAGAAAAATTCCTTTCTATAAACCAAAAGCTCATGTTGAGTTTTACAGTCTTATCTCTGGCTTCTCCATTTTTCTTTTACGCAGAGAACATAACCTCCCCCCCCTTTCCTTTTATCCCTCTCTCTTGTCTTTAGGTGTTTTTTTTTTGTTTTTTTTTTTTTTGCTTTCTGCTCTTACCAGCACCGCTGGCTCCCTCTCCCCCTCCCTGGTTTTTTCTGTCATTCTCTTCCCCCCTCCCCTCTGTGGCTCAGAGGCCTGCCTGGCCCCCCTGCTCCCTCCATCCCCTTAACCCTTGCACTTGTGGGTGACTCAGCCCTAGAGAAGCCCAGAATTGTCTGAGGGGTTTTTGTCTCCACTCTGTGTGCGAGGTGCAGAGCCTCCGAGCTCTCAGCCCAGGCGGGAGGGGAGAAGGCAAGGAGGCCGAGTCTGGGACAGGTAATCTCCCAACGGAGCCTCCACTCTCTTAACAAAAGGGGGACAGTCCCCTTTTGTCTGGGGCTCCTGAGGGGCGTGTCCAGGGCCCAGAGCCACCACCAGTGGCATGCAGGGGGAGGAGGCTGCAGTGGTAGGGGCACACCAAGTGTTTCCAGTGGAACCTGAGTGATTTTTCACTCTGTGTGCCCACAGGAGAGAGAGAGAGACAGACAGACAGACCTTCTCCCCTCCCTTGCCAAGAGTTAGGAATACCCTGGCCCGCTCTGCCAGTAAACTCTCCCTCACACCCCAGACAGCGGCCCATGTGGGAACAGGGTGAGGGGAGAGCACACCCTGGGAATCCACTGTGCCCACCTTCAAGGTTACAGCAACTGGCAGGAGACGGACAATTGACGATTGTTCCCCTTCCGTGTTACTCCCCTGGGAAGGGCCTGCTGCTCCTCCAGTGAAGGGATCATGGAGCGGGCGGGCGTGTGGATCCCTGAGGTGCTACTGAGACACCCCACTGGCCCTCCTAGGGCTCTTCTGTGTCCAGTCTCTCTGCCACTCCGTCGACCTTTGACCCCTCCCTTTATCCAGGAGTGAATCATGGATCTTGTCCGATTTCCTTAACTTCCACATGGATCCTTCCACCGTCCACCTCCCCACCACCTACCCAGCTGTACCACCGGATTCGGACTCGGAATCAACCCATGTTCAGCGCAGCTCTTCCACTCGACACTGGTCTGTGTGACGGAATATGCCAGAATGCTCCAGGAGGCTCAATAGTGGTCATATTCTGTTCGGTGTCTGATATTTAGTATAGATCAAAATACCAGAAAAACACCCATGTGCCAAATATAAACTCACTTGTAGTTTTTCCCATCCCACCTTGACTTTGGAAAGATTGCTTCTCTCAAGGTGGAGAGGCAGCGTTTGGTGTCTTATGTCACTCAGTTAACATCTTTGGCTAATTGGACTGAAGCTGGTTATTAACATGATGTTAATTATTGAACGCTGCCCTGAGAGGCCTGTCGGCAATGACACCTGCCTCCTGCGCACTCACCTCTGTTCCTCTTGGGGTCAGCTTCGAGCTCGCTTGAGACCCGTTCAGGACCCGGACGGAGGCGGGGGAGGGGGTCCCAGGTGCTGGCCGGCACCTTTCTCATTGTCCGGGTTCAGTGCCAGCCCAGGGCTGCATGTTTTGTTTTGGCACATCCCCCAGGCGCTCTTCCGGGAGCCTTTCTGCCAGCATAAAGGCCACTGAGCACAGGGTTTCAGCTGGGGAAGAAAGGGGCACGGGTGAGCAGTGACCTTTTTCCCTGATGCCAGCTGAGGGCTGAGCCTCGCCTGTGGAGAGGGGGGCTGCAGGGACCGTTCTGAGTGGACCGGTCTGTCTGCATCTGTCCATGTCCTCCTCTGCTCTTGGGTTCACGACCGCTCCCTCCTCACAGCCTCTCCAGGGCCTCGGGCAAGCTGCTCAGTGTCCCTAGTAGACAGCCCCATGGAGATGGCGCTCCTGGCCCCTACTCTCCCGTGCCCACCTTCCTGCCTGGCTTGGAAGGGGCGGTGGGGTGGGGGTGGGGCTCTCCTCTGTAATTTGGTTTCCCCAGAGTTGCCCTGCTTTTCCTGCTAGAGCCCTTTCCTTTCCCTTGTTTCCTTGCTTAGCTTTTCCCCTTTCCTGTGGGTTTCTCTCTGTGTGCCCTCGCGCCTTGCCCCCTACGGGCCGACCCTTTAGTCTGAACTGAATTGGGGGACGGGAGTGTCATCCCTGCCCCAGCCAGGAAACCCTAAGCACGGATCGAGTGGACGCGGCCAAGCTGGAGAGGCGTCTGGGGGTTGAGGGGAGGCATCATCGTAAGACTGGGCGACTGTTCGGAAGTAGTGTCCATCTTCCTGCCTTTGTCACTTCTCCCTGGGATTGGCTGTTGTGTTTGTGGCTGCATGTAGTGCTTGTCAGCGGAGTGCTGTGACAGGAGGCTATTTTAATAAACTGTTGCAGTTTCCCGAGCCGAGCTGCATTGCGTTGGCATCCCTCGTCACCGCTAATGGAGCGTGCGTGGCTGGGTGTGGGCTGAGGGAGGCGGTCGAGCTCGCTGGGGGCCTGGGGGGGGGAGTGCGCCTCGTCTGGGAGTGCTCCCCGCCCGGCAGGCGGCGGCGGAGGCAGCAGCAGCGGCCAGGCCCGGGGAGGAAGGGGTGGCCGCACCCTGGGCGCCAGGTCCCTGCCCTGGAAGTGCTGCTGGCATGGACACTTTCCGAGCTCTCTTTCTTCTTTTTCTATTCATAGCACCGCAGGCTCGCGGGTATGGCCAGGGAGGAAAACTTCCACTCGCCCCTGTGCGCTCCATAAATAAAAAAAGAAATAGACCCAGAAAGAGTGTGTGAGGGCCTGAGAGAAAGAGACTGAAACCAAAACACAGAGAAGGCGCAGCTGCTCTCCCCAAGGCCTTCTGGGGCGCCCGCCCGAGCCAGGCCTTTATTTATTTCTTTTTCTGGCTTAAAAAAAAGAAAAAAAAAAATCAGTGTCTTCCTCAATCCTAGTCCCCCCAGCCGTACCCCCCCCCCCCCGAATTTGCTGGCTGGCTGCTGCCAAATGGACCCGAGTGGGAGCCTGGAATGAAAAATTCATAACTGCTGGACTTTGCTTGTTCATTAGACGTGAACTTGTCGATTGGGCAAATTGTTTTTGGTCTCCAACTGCCGGGGGCTCTCCCCACCCTCCCGGCTCGCCCGGTTCCCTCCTCCCCTTGGACACAGCCATTGGCTGCTCGAGAATGTCTCATTGCCAAATAGGTGGATCCTTCTCTCTCTCTCCCTCTCTCCCTCTCTCCCTCTCTCTCTTCCTTCCCCCCCTTTTTACTGGCTTTGGCACAGGCAAATGGATGGGGATTGAGCATGAAAGGGGAGAGAGAGGGAGTTTGAGAGAGAAAAGCAAAAAAAAAAAAAAAATCCAAAACGCAACCAGTTCCCTCTCTCTCTCTCTCTCTCTCTCTCTCTCTCTCTCTCTCTCTCTCTCGCACACACACACACACAGAGCACCATCCCATCCACGTCCTCCCTCGCTCTCTCCCTCTTTCTCTTCTTTCCTCCCTCCCTCCCTTACTCCCTCTCTCTCTCTTTTGCACGCGTCTGCCAGCGACGGTCTGCAGCCGGTCCGAACTCGTCCTCTTCCCCGGGAATCTGCGAGCTCCCCCTTTGCCTGTGATCAGGCTCAGAGGCGGAGGGAGGCGGCAGAAGTTTACACCCCTGTGCCGCTGCCAAAGCCGAAAGCCTTTTTCTTCAGCTGCCGCTTTCCCCCTCCTGGTTTTTGTTTTTGTTTTGTTTTGCACGGGGGTGGGGGGGGTGGGGGGGTGGGGGGTGGGGTAGGGTGTGCTGTGTGTTGGGGATGGTGATTGGGAGGTAGGTTTTGATTTTTAAATTTTGCATATTTTCCTTCTCTCTCTTTTTTCTTAAACTGAAAGAGGATGCACAGGAGGCGAAATTGAACATTTTTTTGTTGGCTTTTGTTTACCTGGCGTGTGTGGCAACCGGCTCGCTCCCTCTCTCTGCTTGCTATCCCTGACCTTTCTTTCTTTTTGCTCCTTTTCAAAAAAAAATATTAATTTCCCCCTTCTGTGCAATGGAGCGTGGAGGGGGGAGGAGGGGGAAGGGTTTGAGAATCCACCCAAGCCCGGCCCCTATTCCCCAGAACACCAATAATAACCCCCTTTAAAACATTTACCTTCCTCCCCTGCTCCTCCCCCTCCCCCCTCCCCCCACCCGCCCCCAACTCACAACTCTGTTGAGTCCAGAAGCTCAGAATCGGGCGTTGGGCTTTGCCGGGTGCTTCAGATCAATGGTAATTATTTAATTTTTTCCAGTTTTATTTTTGTAAACAGAAATCAATTATTATTTAAACTTCAAACAAGCAAACAAGCAAAAAAAAAAAAAACCAAAAAAAAAAAAGAAAAACCAAAAAGCGAGAGCCCAGCCCTCTGTCACCTGACTGAGTGGGAAAGAGGGTGAAGGGGTCAGTGGGGAAGGGGCTGCAGGACGCCCCACGAGGCTTTTAACCCTAATGTGGCCGAGCCCACCACCTTATTTGTGCTAACAAGAAGTGTTTTGTTCCTTATTACTGTGATTAACATTAGTATCGGTGTTGGTAACAAAGCTGAAATCACATATTTAGGGTTTAGATCTGATTTAAAAAAAAAAAAAAAAGGCTGGGGTGGGTGTTCCAATTGGAGCAGGAGGAAAGAGACTGAAAACAGCGTGGGGAGGGGACAGCCGAATCCGGTTCCTCGCTGGCTCCTGGATGTCATGTTCTCTCTTTTTGGGGGCGGCCAAAAATCGACCGGTGTCGGGACACGAGGCGGCCCCCGCGCACCTCGCCTGTGCGTCCGCGGGAGGCCGTGCAGACCGGCCGCCGCGCCGGGGCCAGCGGACGGGAGTTTGCGGCCGGGAGAGAACATGGAGATGTCATGGGCGCGACAGAGCCTGGCGGGGATACCGGCAGCGTGTGTGTGTGGACCGCAACGTTGTCTGTGCGCGCGTGTGTGTGAGTGAGTGAGGGAGAGAGGGAGTGAGAGAGAGAGAGAGAGAGAGAGAGAATAGGTGTGTGCTCAGGCTCTGGGTGCCTCTGTCCCTGGCTGCTGAGGCTGAGATGGGAGCGGGCGGCTGGCTGGGCTGCTGGTGGCTCCCGACCACACTTTCCTAGAACAATCACAGGAGAAAATCGTCGCGGGAGGGGGGAGGAGGAGGAGGAGGAGGCGGCGGCGGCGATTTTTCTTGTGCCCCCCTTCTAACGCTTCTTTTCTCCTTTTCTCTTTCCCCCTCGCCCCGTCTTCCCCTCCTCCCGTCCCCCCTCGCCCCGCATGCTCCCGGCTTGCCGCCTGCAGGATGAGTTCCACCCGTTCATCGAGGCGCTGCTGCCTCACGTCCGCGCCTTCTCCTACACCTGGTTCAACCTGCAGGCGCGGAAGCGCAAGTACTTCAAGAAGCACGAGAAGCGGATGTCGAAGGACGAGGAGCGGGCGGTGAAGGACGAGCTGCTGGGCGAGAAGCCCGAGATCAAGCAGAAGTGGGCCTCCCGGCTGCTGGCCAAGCTGCGCAAAGACATCCGGCCTGAGTTCCGAGAGGACTTCGTGCTGACCATCACGGGCAAGAAGCCCCCCTGCTGCGTGCTCTCCAACCCCGACCAGAAGGGCAAGATCCGGCGGATTGACTGCCTGCGCCAGGCCGACAAGGTGTGGCGGCTGGACCTGGTCATGGTGATTTTGTTTAAGGGGATCCCCCTGGAAAGTACTGATGGGGAGCGGCTCTACAAGTCGCCCCAGTGCTCGAACCCCGGCCTCTGCGTCCAGCCACATCACATTGGAGTCACAATCAAAGAACTGGATCTTTATCTGGCTTACTTTGTCCACACTCCAGGTAGGTGGCTTTCAATCCCCCCCCTCCCCCGCAGCCCCCATTTCATTTCACTCGCTGGCGTTTGTTTTGTTTATTGCTCCTCTTCTTTTCGAAGGATACACGCAATAGGCCTCACTGGCGCGCTCGGCCTGCCCAGGGCGGCGGTGTGTCCGGTGTTCCCTTTACCTTCTTCTGTTTCCCTCCACGCTCTCGCTCTCTCTTCTTCCTACTTCGCTCCCTTGCCCCGTTACCGGCGGGACTGCCCGTACACCTCCCTCTTTGGAGCACTCACCTTACCCCAAAGGCGATGCAGGTCTCAGGACTGGGGCCAGGCTGCCCCGGAATTACCCGCAATGGTGAGAGTTGGTGATGAACGCCACCGCACGTGTACAGAAATCGCTCATTGCCCAGATTTAAAATGAGTCAGAAGAGGCATTGGGAACCAGGTGCCGGCTTGCCTGCGGCTTCCCCGCGAGTCCTGGGGAAAAGCGGGATTTGGCACAAGCGGGGTGGGCAGCAGTTCGGTGGAGAGAGGGGCGTGTAAAACCCCGGGTTATGAGCCAGGATGAAAAGGAAAGAGGCGAGGAGGCAGAGGAGGGCAGATTCTGGGGCCCAGATGCCCGGGCGGGAGCCGGTTGGACTGGGATTGGGATTTGGCCGTCGGTGAGCAGGAAAGTCATTTGACTTCATAGAGAGTGGAAAGGAGCATGAGATTCCTTGCGCTCTCCCCTCCGAGCAGGGAGACCCCAGGACGGATGCCCATGGTCCCCCCCTCCACTGCTGGGGAGCGGAGAGGCAGTCTCCAGCACAGGCATGTCGGGGAGTGGCGGGGCTGCGGCAGTGGTCTGAAAGGAGCTAACAATCCCCAAACTCTGCAAATTCCCCTTTTCCTTTTGTGTTTCAAGTAGTCCCAGTTCTCCGCGTTGCTTTTCCAGTTCTGCCCGGCATTTTGGGTCCGGGCGGTTCAGTTCTCTTCCTCTGTGCCTTCCCCCCACCCTTTCCCTTTTTATAATTTCTTTCCGCTTTTGTTTTCTTACAAATTGAAACAGAGATGGCTGGTTAATTTTTAGCCTCCACTCAGCTACGCCCAATTTACTGCCGCCTTTGAAACCTAAACGGGCGGCACTCTGTGATTAAGCAAGGCAGAAGTGTGTTTACATTATGCGCAACCAACTTGTAATGAGAGGGCTACCAAACCTTTTTCTCTCTGTGTGTGTGTGTGTGTGTGTGTGTGTGTTTTTCCTTTCCACTATTCCGGTATTTTTTTCCCCCTTGTTTCCCTTCTTTTTCTCTTTATGCAAATGTAACAGAATGTGGCTTAACTTCAACTCTAGTGAATGTTCTCTCCCGCAAGTGTGTGTGTGTGTGTGTGTGTGTGTGTGTATGTGTGTGTGTGTTTCTTCGTCTTCCTTCCTGTTCATTCATAAAAAAGAAAAGCAACTCACTTTTCTGCTGTGGTCACTCCCTTGCCTGTTTGGGAAGTTGGGAGGAGTGGTGTGACTTAATCCAGAAATGAAATTTGGGGGAACTTTTAGCATTGCGGCGGGAAAGTAACTTTGACTAGGATTAGCATGGAGGGTTTCTATGCTGGCAAACTTGGGGGACTGGACGAGAAGGTGGTATCTGAGCCCTCTCCCCTTACTTACATCCTCTCTCATTCTGAGTGGTGGCTTTGATAGTTTGGTGGAGGGAGCAGACACCTTCCCCTCTTCCCCGCCCCTGCAGTCATTCGTCCCTTCATGGATCTTTCTAGGCTTGCATCTGGCCCTGTGTCACTATTGTGACCCCTCATGATGAATGACCAACTGCCAGTCCTCTCCGTTCGTCCTTTTTCTTTCTGGAAATGAGACTAAAAAAGAAAACATTTTAAAGTTATCCTCTCATTCTCTGTCTTCTACAGCAAGTCAGAGAGGGGAGGGTATGTGCACCTGGGTGGGGGGGCTTGGAGCCTTGGGTTTGTGTCTGTCAGAGAGACCTTCTGCAAGGGGATTCTGCCCCTTCTGGTGTTAGAACTCGGGCCACTGAGATGGAGATCAGTGCTCACCCCTCTCTGGCTTCCTCCTACCCTGCTCTCTAGCTAGATCCCTGTTGCCGAGCTGTTTCCCTGCGCTCTTTTATTTTAGGCCAGATTCTTGCCGGCTGCCAGCACGGGGCTGAGGTAAGCGTGTGTGAGGAAGGAGACTGTTTCTGGCCGGCCTCCTGGCTCCTGGACCAACCGGGCAGGTGTCGTGAGAAAGGAGGCATCCCCGCCCACCCCCCAGCTACGATGAGATCATTTGCCCGGGAATATGAGTGAATTCATGCCCCATCGAGTGCGGCCGCAGCCATTTCTGTCCCGGCTGAGGTCCAGTTCCTTGACAAAAGCGGAGTGGAGAACCGAGGTCATTTCAAAATAATTCATCTACACTCTAGCTCCCAGGCCTCCAGATAGTTTCAAGGAAGGTAGGATTTCTTGCTGGGATTGCTCTAGTTCACACGTGCCTCCCTGGAGGAGTAGGGGTGAGTCGGTGCAGCATGGGCCGCCGGCGGGCCTTGGGTAGATGATCTCAAGACTCTGAAGAGCAGGCCCAGTCTTCTCCCCAAGCTGCCCCAGTTGGCTAGAAAATGTCTGCTCCTGGCTGAGCTCCCCGAAACTATCGGTCTGACAGTACAGCCTTCTCCTGCCCCTGCCCCCCACCCTACCCCTGGACATGCTCAGCAGGGTGCCACTTGCTCCTTCCTCCCTGTATAAACCAGGAGTCGGGGCTAGGGTGGCAATGACTGAGACAAGAGTTACTTTGGATTCTCTAAAAGAAGTAAGTTTCTCTCCTTAAGACTGGGCTGAAGGACCCAATCTAGGCCGAGCTGGTGGTGCTGGATTTGGCAACAAGCGAACTAGACATGGTGGTAAGCATGGAGGCCTTGCTTTACCTCCAAGTGCCACCATCATCTGTGGCCCTCGTGTGCTCTTGTTTTGCCCCATGTGATGCTTCACGAGGTGGCATGGTTGGAGAGGGAATAAAGGACGTGTGTGTGTGTGTGTGTGTGTGTGATGTCAGGAGCTCCGCTCCAAAGCATGAGGTCCAAAAGACCAGCTGGGGTGTGTTACGGTCTCCTTGAGGATGGCCTTCTGCTGGGAAGGAGTCTTGCCATGTGTTTGTCCCATTCAGGAGGGGAGGTAGAGGCAGAGTGGGGTCAGCGAACCCTACCATGCAACCCCGCAGCCATTCACCCTTCCATCCAAAGAGGTTGCCCTCAGGCCGGTGGTTGGAGACACAGGGGAGCGTGGGGCTGGGAGGCCGCTGCTTGTCCGTGAGGAAGAATGGCTGAGCTGGTCCAGAAGTGCTGCTAGACTCCTTCCAAAGCTTCCGCAGGGCCCCGAATGTGATCTGGTATCTTCGGACCTGCCCCAACCTAGGCTTCGGTCCTAGAAAATAGAAAAATCTGGGGCGCTCGTCTGGCTCAGCCTATACAGCATGTGACTCTTGATCTTGGGGTGGTGCGTCGGAGCCCACAACAGAGTGTGGAGATTACTTAACAATTAAAAAAAGTCCGAAAGTAATAAAATGCTTTACTGAATGGAAATGTCAGCTTCTCCCCATCAGATTGCTCTGACAGGCCCGAGTCGAAGCCTGTGAAGCCTGGGTCCTCGGGTGGTGATTCTTTCCTTTATCTCGGCTTGTTCATGGTGGAGAAGTTCACATGTAGAAGGAGCCCCCGTCGCCGGTGCTGGTAGTTGCCGACTTACATCCACTCTCCACGCATCCACACCCGCCACTGCCCACCCACGCTGGGTTGTTTAGAAGAAAATCCAGGCATTGTAGCTTTCCGTCTGTAAATATATCTGTGCACATCTCTGAGGATAAGGAGCCTTGAAGGATGTAACTGCACTATCACCAGCATACCTAAAAGTAATCAACAGTTTCCTTAGCTTGGTCAGCCTCGCCAGTGTTCCCATTTCCCTAATTATCTCCCAATTTTGTTAGTCTGGGTCAGGATCAGAATCAGAATCAGGTGCACACAGGGGCGCCTTGCTGGCTCAGTCAGTAGAGCATGAGACTCTTGATCTCGGGGCCATGAGTTCAGGCCCCATGCTGGGCGTAGAGCTTACTTAAAAAAAAAGAAAAAGAAAATCAGGTGCATGTCTTGGTTTATTTTCTGGCAGTTTTGGGGTTGCTGCTGTTGAAGGAAGTGGGTCGTTTGTCCTGTAGGACTTTCTCCATCTCGACTCTGCAGGCAGTGCTCCCCTGGGTTGCTCATGCGATGCTCTGAAAGGAGATTCTGCCTCCCTCCTCACCTCCAGGTCCTGGGACGGCTGGACCTTACCTGTCACAGGAGATGGATTAGCACCTAAGGATTTGTCTGAGTGCACTTTTTCAAGTGCATAGTCACCCGCCTGAGGTGTAAGAGTCCCCTGGTTTTGCTCTCCGCTTCAGAGCTCGGGGCTCTGAGTGCTGGTTTTCGGGTCCGTGGGAGGACTTCTCATCTGGGCCCTTCCGAGGTGGCAGAGGGCATCGTTCGGCCATGTTAGCCCTGCCAAGATGCAGCTGAGGCCAGCAATGCCCCTGCACCTTTGCTGGACACTCGGCCCGTCTGGTGGCTCTGGTGGCAGTGCGTGGGGGGGACCACAGCAGCGCCAGCCGCCTTCTTGGAGGACTGACCCCTAGCATGGCCTCTGTACCACCTCACCCACTGCCTCTTTCTTCAAGGCCCAGAAATGCCACCGGTCTGCGTCTCTGCAGCACCATCTGGTAGCAGGGCTGGCCTAGACTGCAGGGCCCGGGAACCAGATTCATGGGATCAGCAAGAGGTACGGCTCATCTTTTAACCCAGTATAAGGTCCCCTTTAGGACATCCTGGAGGAGACGTCACTGTTATTCAAAGGTCAACTTCGGTCACTGTAAAATTCTTGTTTGTCCAACCCGGAGAATGGTTAGAGGGCTGAGACCAGCACATAGCGGGCAAGTGGCGCGTCGCTGCTGCTGCACTTGCTGTTGTTATGATTTCATGAGCCCAAGGCTGCCTCCCCGTCACCTTTACCT